GAATTGACTGGAGTAGGACAAATGGTGTGGAATGTTCTTGATTCTTTCTGATAGGCCAGGAACTTCAGCATTGGCCAGGTAGGAGCTTTCCAACCTACAGATGTTGAATTGAAGGTTATCACAGAGAATCTGTAATGTGGCAAAGGCCACATCTGTTGCATCAGTGTCAATGAAGTAAACACCACTCCGTGAACGATCCATCAGGAAGTCATAGAAGGATGCATGCAATGGTCGGACGGGAGAAGATCTGTCTGTAATGCCACTCAATACCGGCGCCATGCGTTCCAGAACAGCAATGATGTCATAATGATCCTTCCTGCCAGGGAAATGACAGCGCATCTTATTCAATATATCCATGTGCAGAGGTTCGAGGGCTGATATGATCTGCTGCATCACAGAGCGGAATTGTGTCAGCGTGGTCTCGTCCTTGGGGATACTGTCTTCAAGAATTGCTCGGTACATGGCATCCAGCAATCCACCTCCTGAACGAAGGTGCATGACATTGTCGAAACATTCCTTGACTGGTCCATTCTTGACTCCACTTGGGTTCACGAATTCAGAGGCCAGGCGAGCCCATTCAAATAGACCTTCCGCCTTCTGGGAAATCCCATGAACTTCCGCAGACCCAATGCCCCGAAGATAGCCCATCCAATGCCCCGAAGATAGCCCATCCAATGCCCCGAAGATAGCCCATCCAATGCCCCGAAGATAGCCCATCCAATGCCCCGAAGATAGCCCATCCAATGCCCCGAAGATAGCCCATCCAATGCCCCGAAGATAGCCCATTCGTTTCATAATGTATGGTCGGATGTCACGTTCCGATAACCCTGCAGAGACATCATCCAACGAGGTCACCCTCACATGCTGAGCAGCATTGAGAACACGCTCAATATCAGGCAATGTGCGGGATGTTACGAGGATGCGGACGTTGCGGGGTAGGTTAGCAGTTTGGGCTGACGCAAGCACGGACAACAGATGTCTCCGTGATAGTTCCGCCCCACCTTCGTCCAACGCGTCGACGACGAGCACATTCCCAACGATATGACCCGAAATCTTATGCAATGGTTCCGAAAGGAATCGCTTCCACTGAAGAACGACGTCAGAGGTAGTCTTGAGAACATCATCCTTCGCAACTGCATCCGCCAAGGCTCGCCGGAAGGCAGGATCACGTTCTGAGAGATTGCATGAAACTGTTCTGAATATCTTTTCTTCGAGGTGCTCGGCCTGCCAGTCACGAGAAAAGCAAAAACAAGAGCCGACCCCTCCGGTGTTCTTAAACCACAGTGCGATCGTATGCGCAATAGTAGATTTCCCTTTTCCGGCTTGCCCATGGAGCCAGAGGATGCGTGGCACAGTTTCACCGGTATCATAGATCCAATTAATAATGTCCGCAAAGACCTTCCTGGTGCCATCGAGGCATCTCTTGGTCCTATTGAGACCCACACCCCGGGCACGGGCGAAACCGTCCAAGTCCAGGTCCTCAAGTACGTGGAATGCATCAACCTGGACGCCCCGGTCTTCGAGGCGTCGGTATTGCTGCATCAAGTCGTCTAACATTTCGATGTATGCAATAGAAACGTCGCGCGCCTCATATTCTACGTCCTTCCCTGATCTCTTCCCTGATACCACGTTACATTAACTGAGGTGTAAGTAAGTGTGATTGACGTACAGAAGTCCTCGGTCACGGAATTATTCTTGATGAACTGCACCGCACCACTCGTCATGAGTGCGATCTTCGCTAAGGGTTCCCGCATGCCCGACATCGCCTTGAGGGTAGTTTCTTCCGTGAGGAATTCGTAAACCTTTCTGATGGTATCCAGGAGGCGGGAAACCCGCCCATCTCGGGTCTGTTGAGCGACGAACATCTATGTACGACCACATAAGGTAAGGAATGCATTCAAGAATGAGAACGTACCTGAGAAATGGCTATTAATATTCCCAGCGCCATGCGGGCGAATGGATGGATCTGGAACATGGATGGGGTCATCGAATGGATACAGAACAATAAATGCCTACCTTAGCAAGGGTTGTAACTGCTTGATTGAAATCTTTGAACGGCTTTAGATATGTATCGGGGAAGTTTTGGGTCTCGGCGAGTGCGATATTTGCACCAGTCTCAAGGTCAACATCCCCTGTACCCACACGCGTCACGGTATCCATACCAAATGGTGTCGGCGATATGAAATCAGCACTGCCGAAAGTTGACCGACCGACCGACCGCTGCGTCTGTGCAGCGAGCTTCCTCGGAGTTGTCGAAAGACTGAGACGGCACAGATTACATACTTCGTAGGTCGGAGCAGCCTGAAAATGCCCTCTTTGTTCGCAAGTCGCCCGATCAACATGTGTGTCAGTGCTCCCTCCCGTGACGAAACTTGGAGAACTCGGCTCTGATGGATGGGCGAAGGCCCACATTGATCCCTGAGAGGCACTACCCAACGCTTGAGTATCAGAGGGTAAATGAGGCTGAGAAGGTCCTTGTGACTGATTTTCGGCTAATTGTCATGTACCATCGTCAGAAAGGGGTGATCTGCGTACCGAAGAAGGGTCGAAGTTGAATGGGTTTGCAAGGCTGGTACGAGCTTTCTTTGACTGCTTGCCGGTCATTGCGAAGAAATTGGTATTTTGACACATAACATCGCTAGACAAGATTAGACGACATACCGATGGAGGAAAAGAGCTGTATGGGTTGGCAGCGCCAGAGCGACGTCTCTTCAACTGATGACTGTCCATTCACAATTGGGTATGTAATCCGTATGAGGTTTGTGCGTTTGAATGACGTTGTGAGCGTCGAGGTTAGAAGGGAAAAGCGAAGCTGAAAGAATGCTGTGGGTATGCTTGTGAGCGCAAACTGACACAGCAGACACATGGCAGCGCCCACCACTTGATGCACACGCATGTATGTACTACGAGTAGTCTGCAGGCTCCTATCGTGAAACAGGAAATGACCTGACGATTTAGCACTGAACTAGTGTAATCGGCATTGGACGTTTTTGCTCACCCTGCGTGCCGCCATATCACGCTGGTCTCACATCGCCGTTTCGTGCCTGCTTGCTGAGAAGCATCACATGGTGAGTGGTGTTCGGGATCACGAGCTTGTGGTGCTACAAAGAGTGAGCCTGAATATTCATCACTGGCCCCCTCCCCCCTCCCGACTCAGAACGTCGAGGACTCACCACTACGCAGTGAACTGGCTGATATGCTGGGCCTACCAGGGGGCTACAGGTCACCTGAGGGTTGAAGCGGGGGGCACGCATAGCATGCGCCCGCAGTAGCCAATTTTGGCAACTCGTGTCCACATAATTGACCGATATTGTTTGGCAACTAAACAAAAGCGCTTATGTGACGGATCTGGTCTACCGTTCCGTAGTTAGCCGTAGTACAGAGAGCGAGCAAAGGCATAAGACGAAGATGCACGGCTGATTCTTCCCTTTCTCTTTCCCTCTCCTTCTCACCGCTACTTGTCCAGGCGTCCTCTCCTTTATGCTCATTGCTGGAAGTTCATGCATTCTGCCTGGGAACGGTTTATGACTTCGCCATCGTCTTGGATCCTTTTCCTATGTCTTCACCGTTCGTGCCATTACATTCAGTGCGTAGTCTAGTGGCATCCCCGCTCGCTATGCGTTATTCACGCACTTCTCATTTGTTACAACTTGCATAGTCTTTCTGGCTTTGGTTGTATCCGTCGAGATATTCACTCGGTAGAGTATTTCAGACATCACGTTCACATGCACGTCCGATCCCAGGAAAAGCATCTATTTCAGAGTTTAAGCCGAAAACAGAACCGACCTGGCTATGTGAATACGTCAGGACAAGCTGCTTCTCGCAAGTGATGTCTTTCAACCGCGAAACCGTGTTTCTCCATGAACGCGGTGCACATATCTTGAGCGTATCTGACCTCGGTGTGTCAAATCACTCGTTATGATGATATCCACAAAATGCATTGCATACCTTTCTTCGAACCTCGGTTCGGGGTGCACTGCAAAAACAAAAACACAAAGTAGCGGATCGTGACAAAGAAAAGTGACAAATCTAGGATATCCTGATCGAGTTCCCTGAGCGCCAGATTGAGGTCGTCGATGGTCTTCTCGATAGTGCAACTAACTCGATGACACGGCCCAGAGGATGATAAGTTTAATATAAAGTCAACTCAGGAATCCTAATCTTTCGATATCCACTCACGGCTCGATGATCACAGTTGACCAAATAACCGAGCGTCGTGAAGGAGATACATACGTGCAAGGTAGAGGAGCAGAATAGCGCGACACTGAGGCGAGACCGACACAGAACCAGCAAGGTTAGAAAAACTTATGCGGAAGTCAGTTGTTGACCTGGTGGAGCCGGGCACACCCAGTTACAAAGAGGTTGGAAGGGGTACTTGGCGGGCTTCGATGAGACCGGCTGAAAAGACTCTTCGTAGCGGTCAGTTTGCTAGAGCCATGACCAGTTAGTATTCTACGCAATGCTTCCAGCGAGCCCGCAACCGCTGATCCATTTGCCTGATGGCCCTTGGCAATATCAGATTCCGTATCGGTGAAGGGTTATACGCTGATGAGAGTAACTTCCCGTGTAAACCGTAAACGACGTTTCTTCGGCTTGTTTCCGGCAATCGAGAAATCGACAATTTGAGTGTGGCAGGGACTTCCATGAGTTAGATTACGCTGTCATTCGGATATTGAGACGAGCAATGTGGTAGTCGTCAGTAGGCGGTATCTCCTTTCTGGTATGCTTTGTCAGTCTCCGTACCTTCTCCGCCACTCTCACCTTAGTTCGTTCTCTCGTCTTTATCACTCTCCTGACTCACCGGCTTTCCTTTCCGTCTCTTCACCAACCTCGTTTCATCCCCTCTTCGAGCACGCCCACGTTTACGGCACAATACCAGATGGGCACATACTCTTTATTGCAGAAGTGGACAGAGCACCGGCGAAGGCAAGTAGATGGTGCATGGCAAGCGGGCCCCAATAATTTGAACAGTAAAAGTTAGCTTGTGCATACGAGAAGATGACAACGGGAAGTAACCGACGTAGACGTCGGGTGAAATCCTAAAAAGTGGAGCTTGAAGGTAAGTCATCCTCGACGAAGGGGAATGGGAACACCTCCTTGACCTCCACGGTCCTGTCATCGATTGCCTCGACTCGCAAGGTATCGCTCATGACAACCCCCTGTGGCGTACGATTTTGATGTCGACATACTAAGGGAGCATGATGCTCCTCGACCCATTGTTCGGGTGGATGGGAGCAGTGGGAAGCCGGATTGGAAAAAGGGGTGTGCGGGGGGTTGTAATTAAGCAAGATAGCGCAGATGCGGACAGGAAGATGTTGGACATTCGGCATTTGGAAGTGAGGGAGATAAGGATGGTGGATCGCATTGTGCGAATCTTGCAGAGCAATAAAGTTACCAACGCTCCAAGATCTCAAGGCCTCCGAGATTCTTCTCCGCAGAGCGTACCATGCATTTCGATATCGACAGTCTCTTCTATAGTGACCCCGGCATCGATCTGGATCGCGTTGTGGAGGGTATTGTCATGGGCCATTCAGATACAGTGCTGTATAATTTGGAATGGAAGAAGGTACCCTCGACAATAGTAACTGGACCGGAATGAGCATATTTGCACCCTGGGACCCGGGTTTGGACAACCTGAAAAGTCAAGAGTTACACGCGACGAAGCCTCGCATGACCCACCCGCATCGAACTGCGAGGCAGTAAAGCACTCGAACTGATACTACGCTTTGATGTATGAAACGACGATATCGTGGTCGTGTTGCATCTCGCCTCCCCCATCTCACTGGAGTGGTATACACATTGACGAGGCTACTGATGGACGTCAGACAGGGATACGAACAGGATGTGTTTTATCATCGTGGACGTTTACTGCTAACTAGTGAGCCTGCGATCTTGGACGCAGTCAACAGGGCCTTCGTAGCGATCACGTGAACATTATGTAATCTAACACGTGTTCAGACTTAGATTACTTCCCCTGTCTCTCGCCTCTCTCGTCTTCGACCTTCGTCGTCTCTCATCCAAGCATTCATCGTTCTCGCGCATATACTCCTCAGTTCTTCGCTCTACATCATGTCTGGCCCCCCTGCTGGTATCCCCTTCATTCCCGTAGTCCCAGCTGGTCTTGGCATATAGTCCGCTCCCGCTGCTCCCACCTCTACTCCGGTAGCCACAGCTGTTCCAATCTCATCTACCTCTGCCAACCCCACCATTTCAGTCCCCACTCCCCCTGTTTCGTCCGCTAATACCACTCAGCCCCCACCTTCTTCGGTGGTTACGCCCGCTAGCAATGCTGGTAACCCCTCCCAGCAAATTTTGGCCGCATATATGCTGCTTCCCCCCTCAGACCAGCTCGCGCTAGACTCTTTGCTTGAGAACCACCGCAACTCCCCAACCTCAACTCATTGGTCCAAGGTTCAACGTGCTCTCCCGTTTGATCTTTCGGACAATGCTCCCATTTTCTCTCCGGATGGCACGCACCTTCCCATCCCCAAACTTATTAACAACCTCGCCGATGCCGGCTTCCATGTACCTTTAACCCTTTTTTCCTATGACGCTCTATATAAATTACAGAACCAACCCCTCGCCGTTAAAACAGTCAAGGTTCACCAGAACGGTCAGAACGTTCATATTCTCGACGTCACCCAATTTCCTCCTGAAGAGGAGATGCTCCCTTTGGACTGGCATTCAGCCTGGGAGCGCTATATCGATTGGATCGGCACTTGAGAGGGTCTCATTGCAAAGCGCATGTGGTCCTGCCACTTTCGCTTTCTCGCGCGTATTCATAAGTTCCGCAAGTGCTTCCCAGCCATCCTTCAGTTCGACATGGACGTTCGCTCCACTGCAGCATCTGACCCTGACTTCTTCCTCACCACTGAGGAATACAAAAATAAATATCTCCACACACAAGTTGGCGTCCTCCAAGCCCCTCCTGCCCCCACTGTTCCTACAGACAAGTCTTCTCGTGGACACCGTTTTTCGCCTTATGACCGCAAAGTTCGTAATGACTCCCCCGATGATTCCTTTCGGAACGGTCAGCGAAACTCTCCCACTTGCGTCATCTGCCTCAGATCAGGCCACAAATACTCATCCTGCAACGAAGAGACTACGCAGAAAGGTCAACAAACGTTTGCGAAATCTCGAGACGGAAAGCTTGTCCGTCGTGACAACAATTCCCCACTGTGTTTCTTCTATCAGCTTGCCAGGAAGCCCTGTCGCGACAACCATCCTGACCAACATCTCTGTGCCGCTTGTGGTTCCCGAGACCATGGTGCCTCTAATCACAAGTCGGCCTAAATCCCACACTCCCTTACCCTTTCTACGTCCAGCTGACATTTTTCCTCCTCGTTTCATCTTCTCTGGCTGTCCTCGCATTCTCTCATCTCCCTATGACTCGGATCCGGATTTCTCTCGCATCATCACGCCCTATTCAGCACTCGCATTCAACTCCTTCCTCCATGCATGTAAATTATTTGATCAATATCTGGATTTGCCTTTCAAACTCACCCATGGCTTCCCCATTGGCAATCTGCCTCCCCTTACCCATTCTTACACCCCCTCCAACCACCGTAATATCGCTGAATTTCATGACGCCATCCGCACTTATATTCATGAAGAGCTTTCTCTCGGTCGTTTCTCTGGACCCTTCTCTTCTGTCGAACTTTTTCACAAGATTGGTCCCTTTAGATCGTCACCTTTCCAGATTGTCGTCAAACCTGGTGTCGAAGGTTCTCCTTCTAAGATTCGTGTCTGTCGGAACCTTTCCCACAAAGGCACTCCTGGTCTTTCAGTCAATGACCAAATTGATCCAGATGAGTTTCCCACTAGATGGGGTTCAGCTGAACTTGCCACTTCTCTGGTTAGTTTCACCCTCATTCCCCTCCTCTTCTCTCTTCGGAGTTCTGGGTGTGGATGCACTTTGCCTGAAGGATTGTCCCCTCTCTGGGTCCTTCCTGATGGTTCGAAGGCACACTTCCCCTCCGTCTCTCTTCTTCTCTGGGCTGCCTTTCAATGACACATTCATCATTCGCCCCCCACTTTCTATTGCTCCTCTCATTCATGATTCCCTGTTCTCATTCGTTCATTCAGATCGCTCGTGCCCCACCGGGCACACAAGCTGCTTCCCTTGACATTGAAGCCGCTTACCGCGGTATCCCTATTCTCCCCGATCATAAGCGCTTCTTGGTTGTCATGTTCGACGATCAATTCTTTTTAGACCATGTTCTTCCTTTTGGACTTTCTCCTGCCTCCGGTCTCCAAGGTGAAGTCGCAGACGCAGTCGTAGATATTTGGGATGCTCACGGCGTGGGCCCATCTATCAAATGGGTCGACGATTTCACCCTTTTTCGCTCTCCTTCTCCTTCCGGTCCCTTTCTAGGCATCTGTGGTGGCGAAGTTTATCGCTACGATTATGACCTTGAACATGCCAAAGCCATTATCGTTCCCTTAGGCGTTCCTTGGCATAAAGAAAAAGGCCAGCCTTTTGGTGATACCGTAGAGTATCTCGGATTCCTATGGGACATCCCTCACAAATCAGTTACGCTCCTAGAGTCAAAGCGTCGCAAATACACCTTCCGCTTATCCACCTTTCTCTCTTCTCACAATTCTCGCATATTCAAGCGCGACGCTGAGAAGATAGCTGGTACTCTAAACCACATTTCCTTTGTCTTCCCTCATGCTCGCTCGTTCATCTCCCCTTTGTATCACTGGATCTCCGAATTCCCTGATGAGTTTAAACCTTGCTTCATCCGCCCTTCAGTTGTTTCCAATCTTTCCTGGTGGCTCGATCTTCTTAGCTCCCCCCAACCCCCACATTCAATTTCACCTCGTTCTTCTCCCTTGGATCTGCAAATTTGGGTCGACGCATCTACTGATTTTGGAATCGGTATCATCTTCGGTGACTCGTGGATGGCCTGGCCCCTGGCTACTCATTGGCGAGACTCACACCGTGATATTGGTTGGCTTGAAGCTGTCGCTATCGAACTTGCCATCCAATTGGTAATTAACCGTGGCTTCTCCCACTCGGACATCTTAATACGCAGTGACAATCAAGGTGCAATTGCTGCTTTTGAAAAGGGTCGTTGTCGCAATTACATGACCAATCTAGCCATCCGCCGCTCGGCTCTCTTGTCCCACGAGGCACGGCTTCACTTTCTTTTCTCTTATGTTCCATCCACTGACAACTTGGCGGATCCGATTTCCTGCGGCATCCTTCCCTCTATTTCTACGCGCATCCCTGACCCTCCTTCGCTCCACTCCTCCATCGCCTCCTCCTTTCAGCATGGTCCTCCCTTCTCCTCTTGAAGAGTTCCTTTCAGACGTCGACCTCGATGCTGCCGCCTCTGCCTTTTATGCTAACACCGACTCCCTCTCTCGTCGCACGGTCGCTTCCTCTTTAAGCACCATCCATTCCAAAACTCCCCGTCGACCTCGTCCTGGCTCCTCCATCCAACCCTCCCCATGGCGTCCACATGTTGTCGCCAGTGACCGTCTCATATGTTGGTCTTCCCCCCATGGTGCTGATTTCTTGTCCTCCCTCGAGAGCCTTTTTCCCCAACAATCGGTCTTCCGCCTTTTTCAAGTCATGCTCCAATCCTTAGACCATAGCACCCGTTCCAACTATGGAGCAGGTCTTCTCCGTTTTACTCAATTCTGTGACTTACTCGCTCTCCCGGAGGAGTCCTGCATGCCAGCCTCACCCGAGATCATTTCCCTCTTCTCCGCACATCATGCTGGACACGCCTCGGAAAAGACACTTAATAACTGGCTTGCTGGCCTCCATTTTTGGCATATTGTCAACGGCGCCCCTTGGTACGGAGATGACATGCTTCACCATGTTCGCAGAGGCTTCACTAAACTTGTCCCCCCATCTTCCAAACGTGACAAACGCCCTCCTGTTACCATTGAGACTCTCTGCATCCTTCACGATCGTTTGGACCTGGCCAACACTTTTGATGCGTCTGTTTGGGCTCTTGCCTCGGTAGCGTTTTGGTCTTGCTGTCGCCTTGGCGAACTTCTCATTCCCTCCCAGAATGTTTTTGACCCATCTAAACATGTCTCCCGGCAAATCCTTCCTCTTTCCATCTCTTCGTTAGACAATGGTACGCATCACTCTACTTTCCACATCCCCTGGTCTAAGACCACCCTCTCTCTCGGCGCGGACATTTCTGTCACTTCTCGTGATCACCGCACCTGTCCCCTTCTAGCCTTATTGAACCATTGCACAGGCAGTCTCGGCATTCCATCGGACGCTCCTCTCTTCGCATTTCGTACGTCTTCCGGTTGGTCTCCCATGACCCGCGCATGGTTTCTCAACCGTTGCAATCAGATTTGGGTTTCTGCCGGCTTCCCTGATATGCCTGGTCACGCCTTTCGCATCGGGGGAGCTACAGAACTCTTACTTCAAGGAGTGCCTCCTGACGTGGTCGCCACTCAAGGAAGATGGAAATCGCAGGCCTTTTTAGATTACTGGCGTCAAATCAATAGCATACTTCCTCTCTTCATTTCTTCATCTGCTGACTCCGCCCGTTTACTTTCTCTCGATTCAATCATGGACAATTTCGCTCGTCGTACCAATCTCCGTACAGTACCTTCCTGTTCTTGATGCTCCCTGTTCCTAGTACCGTTGTTCTGTATATGTTTGCTAGGAATCCTATTCTGATCGCTCCTGTGCTTAACTCCAGTGTGTGGGGTGTCTCGAGGCCACTTCCGTTGTGAGCTTAGCTCGGTTATGGTCGGTCCTGTGGCCTCTCCTCCTCTCTTCCACTCGCCCGCTCTTACACGCTCAGAAGGCCACGCCGCTTGTTTCCGCGCACTCTTCCGTTCCGATCCCTCCCTCGACCGGGTCACGTGACCTCTTCCACCCTCAATCTCTCAGTCTCGCAGTCACGTGACTTCCGCTCTGTGCACGTGCAGTCTCAGCATCTCAGCGTCTCGGTACGCTCGCTCGATTCCAGAGCATAGCGTTCGGCGGCCTTCCCCCCACACACTAGATCGCATTCTCCTTTGTGATCTATGCTTTTCTACTCACCTTTGCCCTTTTCTTCTTCTTGATCTCTTAACCTGTATCTTCATCTCTCCATCTCTGTTTGTTCACCTAGCTACGAAGGCATGAGGCCTTGGTTGTATGGGTAGGATTCGGACCCTGGTGAGAGGCAGTAAAGGGTTGACGGTATTAGCGAGTGTGAGGATATGGCGGAACCCAAAGATTTTGTCGGGACCGAGTGTGGGGCAGAGCGTACTGATACGTGCCAATGGATGATTGGCTTCCATCGACACGTCTCCGCCAACCGTTAGTACCGCGACTCCGTGTAGAGGAAAACACGGTGCCGTGGGATCATTATGTAGTTTCGTCCTATACGTGAGGCCGAGAATAGCCAGCATTGCCAACTTTGGTTGCACAAGTGATGGATGTATAGATTGTATCTTGCTGCGAGTACGTCTGCATACGATTGCGCGTCATTCTTAAACTCCGGGACAAGCTGTTCTGGTGGGTGTGCCAGCGATGACGATGGGTATGTACCGGTGATCAGAGAGGCTGCCTTATAGCTGACAGTTCTCTGGGTGATTACTCAAGTTGCGAGACGGATCGAAAATGTGTCTCGGAGTGATGTGTCCGCAGTTGTCTTTGCGGGCGAAAGTCAGGTCGTAGTAGGATACGAAAACCATGATATTCGTCGATGGAAGATTGAAGACGGTCAGCAACAGGGCCCAACTATGCAAGGGAGCGG